ACGGCGTTTGGTTCCACTCCACCAGCAGCTTGTGCAGGAAGCGAAAGTGCTGGTTAATGATCGTGTATGTGGGGTCTTCGTGCTTGTTGGTGGCTTGTTCAATCACCGCCTCTGTGGATCCCAGGCTCATCCTACCTAGCACGCTGGCGTGCTGATGGCGGACCCATTTGAGGCGCTTTGGTGCAAGGCCAAGCGCGACGTGCCCATACAGGGCAACCCCAAAAACTCCCTGCTTGTTTGCAGTCGTGTGCGCCTTCTGTGGCGGCGCAAGCTGCCCCAGGCGGCGCTGCCTCTTAATGCCTTTTGTGAACCTGGCCTTGTGTGTGGTGACGCGTCTGCGCCTACCTCCTGCACTATCAATGCCTAGGTCCTTGGCTAAGGGCTTGACCTGCGGGTCGTCTGCCTTCAGGAGCTTTTTTAGAGCCTTTTCTGCCCTTGGGTTAGAGCACACCCAGGCACTTTTTGCTGCACTGAGCGGGAGTTTCGCTCTGTCCAATTGCTTCTTTACCCTGGTCCACACCAGGTATGCTTGTTTGGCACATACCTTGGCGTCCTGATTGGCTATGTCGAAGCCAGTGTCGTCGATGTACAAGTCGACATGGCATTTCGGTGGCCCTTTCCAAATGGGTTCCACCACTTCATGCATTATCAACTTTGACAGCCCAGGCGCCAATGGACATCCCGCAATGATTCCTTTCGTGGCCACAATTGGCGCACTGATCATATTTTCGGCGCACAAGTGCCTTTTACTGCGATACACCTGCATTGCACCGTGCAGGAGAAGCATTGGGTATTTGTGTTTGAAAGCAGCCTTGACCAGTGCTACGTGTGACACATTTTCGTAAAAGCCACGAAGGTCAAGAAGGAGCGTAATGCCAGTTTTCCCACTCTGGCGGTACATTTCCCCTTTGAGGACCCGCGTGACTGCGACCTCAAGGGAAGAGAGGCCTTTGACCGCTCTGTCCCATGGTGCTGTGGCCTTGTACTGCTTCGACCATTCATCATAAAGATGATACCTGGTTTTACACCAGGCACGGTAAGCATACGACGTGAGCCCTATCGGGCGTTCTTCCGTCTCTTTCTTGGCCAGCAGGGCGACGAGTGTCATAGTCACTGTTTCAGGCATGCAGCCACTCTGTTCCCATTCTCTGAATGCCCTTGTCACCAGGGCCACCTGGTCAGGGGTTAGGGCTCTGAACATCTGGGCCGAAATGCCGTCTGGCCCGACAGCCTTCTTGGCTACTCAATGCCTGCGAGAATACCGACGGTATCCTCTTCTCTGGTTTCCAAACACTCCACCAGATGAAAAACGTCAAATGGGATTTTCTTCCCGTGCGGACAGCAGATGCCGCGGCCGATGGCCGCCTTCCGTAAACGAACCTAGAAACTGTACAGATCAACAGCACAAAACTCTACACTACGCGACATCCGCATCGCAAGCGGGGACTGCACCACTACGGGAGTCCCACCAGCTCTCCCAAGGAAAGAAGGTGGGACTGTGGCACACAAGAGCGTAAGAGCAGCGCTGGACCATGCACCAAAGCTCAGAGGTGACCAGCAAGGGCATCCAGGGAGCACAGCAAGCCTTGCAAGCTTCACAAGGCCACCAAAACAGACCAACAAGCCTGTTAGGTCTTGCTGTTGCACGCTTGAGCTAGCAGGACCACGAAGCAGGCGGGTGGGAGCCGACAAATTCAACGGGCATGCACGGCAAGCCACCTCGCAATTTCAAACCTTACAAGGACGCCAGCACCAGTGTAACACGAGACTGGTGTGAAGAGGTCAAGTAGCCCTGCATACAAGCAGAGCTGTGCAGCTTAAGGCCCTGTTGTTGCCAGGATGGCAAACTTGTGCAAGAGAGTTCGACGAAAACCAGCAGCAGCAGCCTTTGTACACTTTCTACACCTAACAAACTACCGCCGACTGTACACAGCGCCACAAGTGATCGCATGAACACGCCAAGTGCCCACGCCATCACCTGTGAATTTCCAGCGTAGTTTTTGACAAGTTTCGGACCGGAAAACCAAAACCGTGCCCAGCACAGGTAGCAGCTGAAGGCAGTGAGGTGGCCTTAAGAAGAAGTGCACATATTCATCAAACCACCGGGTGATACCCGACTGCTGCTCACCATGGGATCGCATGCAAGGACAGTGCCAGCAACGGCAGCAGCTGCAGTGGCCAAGGCCACATACACGTGACCACGTAACAAGAGTTACACATACCCCCATTTTTATTGCAAACCAAGCGCCTAGCAGGCTCAAGTGGAAGGCAGCGCTAATGCAGCCAGCAAGGCGCAAAAGCGGCACATCTCAACCACAATGCTCACGTAAAGGGCAACTTGGCTTGTTTTGGCGAAGGTTTGGATTTGCCTGAGCTGTTGGGCTTCGCCACCATGATGTGGCAAGATGTTATCCAAAGGCCATTACAAAACTCCCAGATGTTCTGTTGCTAAGGCCCGAAGTCGGGTAACGCATATTCATCAACCAGGCAAGGAAGCATGCGATCACAACCCAACCACCGGCGGAACTAGCCTAAACCTATAACCCTAAGGCATAACAGGCGGGTGCAGCCAACAGCGCACACCGAGCATGTGACCTGTAGGGCAGCAATTGAACATGCGGAAAGGTAGCCTACATCAGATGAAAGCCATGGCGAGCGTTGTTGCAGCCATCAGTCGCATGACCGTCGTGGACCGCCAGATGACACGGGTGCAGCCAGCAAGCGCACTCCAGCTTCCACCAGACATGTTTGAGGTTGCTTTTTTTTTTTTTGGAAACCCTAGCCCAACCCTCGAAACAGCCCGAGAAGCTCACCGAAACGACAAACGGGTCTGTTTGGAGGTGTCCTTAGACTTGGCTTTGGGCTTGCACTTAGGTTTGGGCTTAGGTTGGGCAGAGCAGGGGAAAACAGAACTGCCACCGCCTTGCTGCACAACCTCCGCAGGGATTGACTCTTTGGCCTCAAAGGATTCCTCAATGGACCGGCTCGTATCAGCTTCAACCTGGGCCATGGAACGCACTCTCGTTTGGGCGTTAAGTTTACGCCCGAGCCCTTTGCAAGTGGACTTCATGACCGACGACGACGAGGTGGCACCAAGTTTAACCATGGCAAGACACTTGGAGCACATAAAGAAAGAACCCTTATTAACCATGTCATGACTGCCATGTATGCCCCAGCAGGCGGGAACCGGGGCAGCTCTGTCGCGACAAGGATTGGACATTTTGCGATCAAAAACCTCGGGAGGGTTACACTGCTCCACATAAAGCTGGCAAACGGTGCACTGGATCGCAAAATTGTTGCTGGCTTTGGCCTCACAATCCTTCCAAACATGACCCAGCCCAGGGTCCGGGTTGGCGAGAGCCTCCTTAAGGCGTTGTTTTTTGTTGGGTTTGGGCTGACTGCTGGGCTTGGACCCGCCTTTGGGCTTACCAAACTTACCCTGGGAAATGATCGAGGGCTTAGCATCCTGGGGCGAAGGCTGGGAGTTGAGGCACCTATCAAAAACCCAAGGGAAACCCTTATCTTTTTTGTGCTTGAGGACAAAGCCAATTTTCTTAGCCAGGTGCAGGCAAATTTCTTCACAGAGCCCATCAAGAACAGGAAGATTCGGCTTAGTCGCTGATTGGAACACTTGCGCAGCCCTTTTGCCACATAAAGAATCAACATCCTCGTTCAGCAAACGCCGCCATTCAGGGATGCCTTTTTCAGCAAAATAGGAAGAGTCTTTATGACTGGGCACCCAAGTGATATTAGCCCTTGACCTGTCACCCCAAATTTCACCCCAAGGGACCGGGCCTTCAAGGGGCGGCATGTTTTTCCGTAGAATGTGTGTGATTGCCTGACAGTCCACCGTCAAGTCGAAAGCACCGGAGACACGACCAAAGAGCTCAAAGGCAGCCTGTTGTTCCGCACTGGCCACCGACAGGGGCTCTTCGGGAAAGCACGTGATGCTAGCAACACGCTTCGGCCCCTCCGGTGCAAGCTCATATGCCGCAATGGCCCAAGCAACACATGCCGCGCGGTGGTCACGGGCACCTGGTCCACCCGACGCATCTGAAGCAAAAACAAGATTATCACTATTAAGGACCCGTCGGCTGCTCCACAAACCCTCACAAACCAAACCCTTCTGCGTATCCGTACCTCCCAGCGACGTGGCACGCTGTGGCAACAAACCGCGCAACCAAAGACATCGCCACGGGAAACTGCGGCGGGAGGCCGGGAAATGCGGTGGTTCAGGATACTTAGAAACAAGATAAGGGCAGTCCCACAGAACATGCTGCAAGCTGAGAGGACAGGCACACAGTTTACAGTACCCGGGCTTATTCTGACCTAAAAGTGCTCCTTGCCAAAGGGCTTGCAAACTAGTCACCATACTCTTATTGAAGAATTTGCGCTTAAGCAAGCGGTGAGGGACCTTCAAGTCGACTCCAGAGGCTAAGGATTCACAGGCTTCCAGATGAGATATACGAAGCAGCCTAGCGGCCTCCCACTTAGGCAAAAGCCAATGCCACACCCGACGGGTGGCGTCAACACTGGCCCAATCAATGATAAGGAGACACTCGCCGCACGTCCAACGGTGGGACTGGGGCGCTTGCACACCTAAATCCATCAAGTATGCCAAAGTGGCCGCCAAGGGCCCATTGACGCGCTTCCAAGGTTGGGGCGACTCTGAAAGCCAAGCCCAAATGTTGGCCCAAGTCGATCTGAATTTCTCCGGGTCCGAGATCTGCCAACGACGGAAAACCCTGGCAACCGCTCGAAAATGCTGCTTCAAAATGGTGAGGTGCGGGTCCTCACACTTGTGACGCAACAAAAGGAAAGAGACATCAAGCGAGCCTAACTTTTGGCGGCCGATGGCCTTGGCACAAAGAGTCCTGTACCACTTACGCCGCTTAGGACTGACGCCTGCAGCCTGATGCCCCCAAAGACCTGCAGAGCATATGGAGGCCCGGGTAATGCGCACTTTATGTGAAAAGTTGGCAAGGCCCAACTTGCGAAGTTTAGACGCCCTGCCACTGGCCTTAGCTCGCCTCATCTCAGCTAAACCCAAAACCCTGCGGCGTGCACCCCCCGATGTGACACCTAAGTCCCTGGCAAAGGTGCGGACTTCAGGGTCTGTGTCAACTCTGACAGCCTGCAAGCATTTAGCCGCTTTAGAGGACGATGCAACAAAAGAAGTCTTATCCAATGACAACTTGGCACCAGTTGCCTCGATGCTGGTACGCAGGCTGCGAAACAGCAGCACAGCGTCTGAGGCAATCTGCTTGGCCGAGGCACCGACACAGTCAAGGGACAGATCATCTATCCATACGTCCAAATTGGATGTCGCACGCTTGGAAGTGGCCGCAACTGCAATGGGGTGCACAACAAGTTTGCTGATAGACGGGGCGGCCGGGCACCCAGCCAGGACCCCCTTCGTGGGAGTAATGGCCGGGCACAAAGACCCTTCAGATTGAAGAAAACGCGGGCCCATGTACGTAAGAAGGGCCTGGTGCAATACCAGGGGAGGGTACCCCAAAGAAAGGCCAGAAGAAATGACATCATTAAAACGGCATCTATCATAGAAAGTCTCCATATCAATGAAAATTGTAACTAAGTGCTGACCGGACTGTCTAGCCGCCTCGCCTCTAAGTAAGCGTCCCAAAGCGACGTCCAGCACTTGACTCCCAGGCATTGCCTTATCCCAGACCGCGGCTTTACAGTACTGGAATTGCCAATCGGAGACCAATTTCCACCTCATGCGCACCCAAGTGCGGTAAAGCACGTGCAAAAGTGCTATTGGTCTCTCCCGCTTCTCGCTTTTTGGGAGGAGGGCTATAAGTGCAAACACCATCTGGGCAGGCCAAGTGGCCTCAGTTTCACAGTGGTGAAGAAATGAAATGATGGATGCAACAGCCGGTCGCTGCAAATTTTTTAACATCTCAAATGTCCACCCGTCTAGACCTGGTGCCTTGCTGGGCACTCGCTTGAACGCCGCAACCGCCTGATCTAGGGGAATCGGCCCAAGCTCCTTGGCCTGCATTCGGGCACGTTGCCTGAGATCACTGAGGAGCGCCGGGTCGACCCCACCCGGCGCGGACCAAAGCTCAAACCACTGCCTCCACCTAAGGTAGATGCGCTCCTGCACAGGCTGGTGCAAGAAAGGGCGCAGCTGGACAGCTTCATCCGCTTTAACACTGGTAAAAAGGCCACGCAAGCCTTTACACGAAGCCTGCTTTAGCCACTTACCGTAGCTTGCGCTCTGCTTCTGCATCCACAATTTGGAATGGTGACGAAATTGTTGCTCCGATACCTGAATCAACTCTGGAAAAGCCGAGGGCGTAGCACCTTTAAGAACAGCATCAAGCTGGACTTGGAAAACACTGAGCTCGGCTGTGGATCCGTGCCACATCAATTCTAGCTGCGACCAAAATGTGTGGCCAAAGGGTGCAGGACAACTCCGCTTCGCCGAAAGTTCCAGCCAAACAAGGACCCGCTTCCAGAAAGAGGCCTGAGCCCCTCCCCAAGCACCCACAGGTGAGGTATGGCGCAGGAGTTTGTCACGGCGAAATTTGGGCAGGCAGCCTCGACCTTGAGTGCAGCCATAGACCGATGACTCAACAGAGCTACTGAGCTGCTCAAAGGTATGTGTGAGGGCCGGCTCAGGTATGGAGCCACCCCAGTGCCCGGCACAGGCAGACTCCAGATCAGGCTGAGGGCCAGAGCAACCTGCAAAAGGAGGCTCGAAGGGTTGCGGCATAATGGGCATCGGCTTGAAACCCACAAGCTGGGGAAACCTCAACTCGCACTGCCTCCTGTCAATGCACCAATGTAAGGCAGCATGTGGAGCAAACGGAGTGATCCAGTCAGCCCGGACCGAAACTCCCAAGGCCAGCCCTTTGGAAACTAAACCAAAATCAATGTTACCACCCCCTGTGCACGTGGAAGCCCCCGTGTGGACCCATTGGCCCCGAGCTTCCTGCGCCAAACTGGTGGTCACCAGAACACTGATGTCTTCGTTGAAGTCGCCTGCAACAAGAAATTCACCTTGCAGCGACCTAAGGAAGGGAATCAAATTGGAAAGAATTATGGCATTAGTCGGGCCCCGGAAACCCTCCCCTGTCTTCAAGTAAACATTGACGAGGAAGATATCAACACCCCGGATGCGCAGAACAACAGACTGAAAACCAACACCTTGGTGAAGGAAGTGGTGGCTTTTACGGACATCAAGGTGCTTCTTAAACACAATCGCAAGGCCTCCTGAGTTACCACCTCCCCCAGTGGGGTGACCTGGCAAGCTGAAGGCCTGATAGCCAAAGGCCCCAACATGAGTGGCCAGCAAATCCCCTTGCTCCTCCTTAATGTGTGTTTCCTGTACCAGCCAGAGGTCTGGCCTGATCCCCGCAAGAAAGGTTGCTAAGGACTTGCGCCACTTGGTGACATTGGAGCTGACTAACAGCAATTTCTTTCCGTCGGCATTGGATTTAAGATTTGCGATGACATCCCTGATAGCCGAGGCTGCAACGTGCCAAGGAACATCATCACCGGCTTCAACAGCAAGCTCAGCAGCAAACCAGGGAAAGGTATCTTCAAGAATATATTGGCCCGCCTCTAGGGCCTCCACAGCTTGAAGCACTTGCACATGACACATATGCTCCAGCCCTTGCAGCAAGCTGGCCCAAAGGGCCGAAACCCCTGGATCACCAGACTGAGCGAGAGCACTGCCCGACCCAGTTGAATGCACAAGCACCTGGTCAGCCTGAGTGCAGCCTGCAGGGCGCACAGCAACGTCTGGTTGGGACAGCGTATGTCTTTGGTCACCAGCCTCAGGGCACGCTGGAACCGGATCATCATGAAAGTTCGGGCCACACCCGGAATTCTCAGACAACGGGATGTATTGCTCCCTCCAGGGTCCTCGGCCAGCGGCCGCACCTCCTCCTGCGGGCCAATCCTCCGCCTGTGTGATATACCCACCTCCTGGACCCTGGAGGGAAACTCTATTAAGGGAAGCAATCCCAAAATTCCGACCCCCAGGACCCTCGCCCAGCGGGCACACCTCCTCCTGAACGAAACCACCACCACCATAATAACCACCCTCCTCCTGGGCCCTGGGGGCCCTCATGGCATCAAGATTGGTAGCCGCGCAACCCAAAGGATGCTGGTCCTGGTCAGGCCGCCCGTGCAACTCACCAGTGATGCCGCAATGCCCAGGAGCAGCATCCCAGCAATCAAAATTGGGGTTAGGGTCCCAAGACTGGGAGACACACGGGGTAGGGAACGGAAATGAAAATTCATGGCCAGCTTGCGACCTGTAGCCGTCAACTTCAACCACTTCTGCATGGACCGAAGCAACTGCACAAGGGTCAAGCAAATCACCACCGTGAGAAATCGGATCAGAAAAAGTCCCTGAACCCTCAAGCACTTGTCGCAATCGGCGGTTGAGGCGCCGGCGGGCCCGTCTGGATGCAGGGGCTTTCCGATTCGTGGAAGGCCCATACGAGAATGCTCTGATACATGTAGGCCTCACAGTTGTGAGCTCCCGCGAACCATACACCTCGCCCTGTTCATCACACTCCTGAGCAGCACTGGCAGGAAAGAAACGTGGACCTGACAAGTCAGCGGATATGTGAGGCCGGCCCTCGGTGCTGGTGGGGCGGTCCGCCCAGCGACACAAACACCCTGGGCAGTAGCAGAGTACATCACTGACAGCCGTGGCAAGGTCCTCACATGGACGGTGTAACATGACCTGGCTGCTGGCTGAAAGAAAACTCCTAATCCAAGGAAAATCCTGCTGACCAAGCACTGCATTCTTGAAAACGTAATCGGACTTTTCCACAACTCAGAGCCTGGTACGTAGCGGAGTTCTGCAATTCACAATGTGCTCCATGAAATTGGGCTCATGCCAAAATCACGTGTTAACACATGTAAAACTGTTCAAGCAACGTGTGTACAAAGGGCAGGGATGTAATGTTTCATCACCCCGCCTGAGGTTCGCTAGTTGACTACAGTACACTACGAAGCTCACTGAAACTCAAGTGAAACTCACTCCTCATCATGCCCTGTGCACCGCAAAGCCTGGCGCACGTAACACGGGCTCTCAGTTTTCACATGCCTGGCCACCGTAAAAGGGAATTGGTGACCGCAAATGGGATCATGTCTGCGTGGTAGCATCACGCATTGCACACTGCCTTCCGTGAGGCATTTCATAGAACTCAAGTTGTATCATCGCGTTCTCGTCCCGCAATGAACGATTCTCGCGCTTCAGCTCATGAAGCGCCCTCTTGTCATCTTTCTGCTCATCCCATAGAGCCGAACACAAAGCTCCAAGTTCTCGGACCTCAATGCGCTCTCGATTGAGCGCACACCGAGTGCGCACGAGCAAAATGCTCAGTGCCACAAGTATGCACAGCAGCCCGCAAAGAAGCATAAAAGAAATCATATCATGGCTGCTTGACGTTGTCGTCGTTGTCGTAGTCGTAGTGGTAGATTCAATCTCCACATCACGAAAGAAACCGACCGAAATTGACCCAAGGCTCCAAGCAATTGTCGCCATCATAACACAAGCGGCATACATTGCCCCACGACGGTACCACGGCCCGCCGGGTGCTGCAATATACAGCCATCCTTCATCACCACCATTGGCACCATGCTCTGCCGTGCTCTCCATTGCATACACTGCCATGTACATCGAAACAAGCACTGCAAGGAAGAAGCATGCACTCATGTTGACACTTGTCACTGCACTCGCTTCCGCAGGAATCGGCATCATAAGCAAAAGCATTGCCACTCGCTTGACCCACGTGTTCGACATGTCATTGCCTGCCACTGTACGAACACGCTTGACCTGAGCTCGGATCGTCGCCGCAGTGCACGTGTGCTCCCACTCATTCTCCCCGATTGGCCTTGAGTGGCAGTCCACAAAGTCATGAAGAAACAGTAGAGTTCGCAATCGGCTTGGGGAAAGTGGCTTGGTGTGAAGGTCTCCTAAATTGAAGTGGGTCGAGATGTATTTCATCACCAGCCGCTTCTGCTGAACAATGTCCTGCAACCACAATAGCCGGCCCTCGAAATGCTTGCTGGCTTTCGTAACTCCCTGACGCAAACAGAAGGCCTTGCACGATTGGTTGTCAACATACAGGATCAGGTCGCAGGGGCTCCGGCTCATAAACTCGATCACAGCCTTCATGAACAGCCCCTGGCACGCGCTTCCCACAGCACTGTAGTACTCGCTTTCCATCGAACTCAAACTGATGCACTTCTGAGATCTACAGATGTAGTGGACGTATTGTCCGTTCACACAGAAACTCGCTCCACCATATGATCGACGATCCTTCTTCGACCCTGACCAGTCGGCATCCGAAAACACCTCCAGTACATTACGCTCAGCGTCATCTGCACAACCAGAATCATACACATAACCGTTCAGTTTCCTTGTCCCAGGAGCGGCAAACTTCATCAGGATCCCATAATCACATGTGTTGATAAGGTACTGGATCAGCTTGATCAAACCAACCTTTGCATGCTCAGTCGGCCTCGCCATGTAGCTTGCAAGCATGCGCACAGCATAGCCCACATCGGGCCGGTCGCACGATATGTATAAGGCTGTTCCCACTGCTTGTCGAAACTTGCTTGCATCGGTGTGGTTGAGCTCACGGGTGGTGTCCTTAGCACGAAGTTCACTCCAACATGGAACTCGTTGTCGGTTGTTTTGCGTGACATTCATGGTCTGCTTCATCTGCTCAATGTAGGAAGAGGGTTGTCGAATCACAATACCCTGTTCTGTAATCGTATGCTCACGCTTGAGAAAACTGAAAGAATGACCCACCTCATATGCAAGCTCATACGTGATCTGAAATCGCTGTTCAATCACTGGAAGAAAGCACTCGCGGGCCCACTGGAGCGGCAAAAGAAGTAAAGAATCATCAACATGGATCATACCCGGACCCTTGTCTGCACAACCTCCATCAGATCCTGGCTTGCTGCTGACATGCACTACCGCAGGGCACTCCTTGCACTTTTCAATCACGAAGTGCTCTCCGAGATACTCGCAGAAGTGTGAGAACCACTGTTGTGATCCTTCACGTTGTCCCGGAACCATTCGCATAAACACGAGGTCTTGACCTTGCACTTTGGAAACCACTGGCGTCGGCTGGGGAACCTCAAGGTATGCATCTTTCACGTCGAGCGCCAAAATGGCATACTGCTCGGATGGCCGCGATTGCTTCCAATTCAGCCACTGCGCCGGGATGAGGCGCACAATGTCCGTGCTTGTAGCAGGGCTAAACAACCCTTCTTTGGACTCATCCAACCACCGAAACTCCCGAGCACACAGTCTGGATCGGCGGTACCATGAAGGAACCCCATTCCGCTTCTTGTGCCGCCACGTTCGAACAAACTTTGTAGTGAGGCTCTTCATCGAACCCAGATCATCATCACTCGTGGCATGTCTTAGCACAGATTTCTTCAGCAGTCTGCTGACCTCAACTTGATCAGCAAGGTTGTCAAGCTCGGCCAAAATGGCATCATCGAGCTCTGGCTCCCTTCCATTGTCGGGAAACCACAGTCTGTCATCATCTTCGGCCACTTCCGCTTCGGGATTGGCCTTCACCTCATTCATGAAACTGTCGTCCGTCTCGGACTCCATGGACCAAAGCTTGGTCTGCACTTCCCAGCCGTCAGGCTGGTCCAAATCAAACTCGCCTTCATCGTTCACTTCATAAGACTGCTCACCAAAAGTCACAGCACGAATGCGCAGTTTCTTCAACGGTGGCAGTTCTGCTTCAGGCGTGCTAGGTGGATCGGGCCTCATTGCAGGATTGGGCCCCGGAGGCTCAGCTTCAACACCAGCCATGCTCTCATCTGGAATTGCTCGAGCACTCCAGGAGGAGGCACATTGCGCCTCGGTGGCGCCATCGCTCCGGCCCCGCCCAACGGCGTAACCGGCATCCCAAGTGCCTCAACTGCAGGTGTTGGGGGCTCGCTCGCAGCCTCATCAGGGGACCTTGGCGGTGCAACATCCCGCACTGGATCCACAGCCGGATGCCGTTGTTTCGGCATTGCCACAAACTTGGTGCCTATAACACCACTTCCATAATCCCAAGGATAGCCCTTCAGCTCACGATAGAGCTGCACTTCAAGCTCCCAAGGTTGACCCACACGGCGGATGGATCGTGACAGTCGTATTCCGTCCTTGCCAGCAATGATGTACATGTCGTTGAGCGAGGATTTGCTCACCAGGATTCCAAGCATCCACCGCTTGTCACCTTTCTGCTTAACATCAAGCTGGCAGTAGACCGGTTCGGCGAACGGCGCAATTCGCCCACTGTACTTAGCCCCACAGGCCCTTTCATAGGCTGTCATGTTGCCAATCACTCTGTATCTGTTGAGCAGCCACGCACTGTGCACAAAAGCCCAGGCAAACAGAACATGCGTTTTACGATTTGCGGCACAAGCTGATTTGGATTTACAAATGTCGAATATCTAGTCGTCCTCTTAGGGACGTTCTATAAATGACTCAGAAAAGAATCAATCCAATATTCTGTGGCATAACATACTCACGACTTTTTCGCTCGAAAGCGTCAAACGGGGTTTCCAAGTGCATGCCGCACGCACAATGTGGCACACCGCCACAAGAAAGAAGCACTTCGCTTCGAGAGCACTCCGCTCGCCCCAGGGTTGGGTGGGTGGGAAAAGAAATTTCGCAGTCTTGAGCTCTAACTCCGAGCCAAGACTTTGCAGCATAACCTTGTTCAAATCTCGTGCGGCATGTGAAACGTGAAACATATTTCAAGTAGTTGAAAATCCAAAATCAGCAGTTTTTCTGTACTTCCAGAAAAACCAAAAGCGCCTACAAATCGTAAAGCGAAATCATGCAAGCATGAGTTGAAGCTTACGATTTGCGGCACAAGCTGATTTGGATTTACAAATGTCGAATATCTAGTCGTCCTCTTAGGGACGTTCTATAAATGACTCAGAAAAGAATCAATCCAATATTCTGTGGCATAACATACTCACGACTTTTTCGCTCGAAAGCGTCAAACGGGGTTTCCAAGTGCATGCCGCACGCACAATGTGGCACACCGCCACAAGAAAGAAGCACTTCGCTTCGAGAGCACTCCGCTCGCCCCGCTTGACCTGAGTGCTCTTAGACGAAGCGCTGAAGCACTGTACCCGTCAGAGGACAACAAGGATCATCGATCGCGCACTCCGGGAAGGCTCTCAAAAGGCCCTCCCATCGACCTCTTGATGGTCCATCAGAGATATTAGAGTGCGAAGGAACACGACTGAACCATTGCAAGGCAGGCAGTGAATCAGCTTTCTCGAGTGCACACAAGAGCTTTCTCCAGGTATCTTCTTTGGAGGATCCGCTTATGCAAGCTGCAAGCACCCCGCTGTGATCGACGAAATAAATGACCCTGGCACCGTCCAGGACGTTCGCCCAGCACGATCTGGCAATGATGACAGCGAACATCTCAACCTGTCCTATGAGGTGTCGCTTGCCCTTGGCATGCCAAGCTTCAAGCAACGTCTTCGGAACAAGCGAGCCAAAGGCCCTTACCTTCAAGCCTCCACTAAGCGAGGGAGCGAACATCACCCCCCCCACACCGGCGGGGTTTGCAGCATCCGGCTCAAAGCAGCCGTCAGTGAAGATCACGATAGGACTAGTCGCAGCTGAAGCTGAAACAGTTCTCGGAGCTCCGGACACAACGCGTTCCTTCAAGAGCAACAAGGCTTCAAGATGCTGAGCTGTGAGGTTGACACGCGCAGCAGAACACCTCTCAAGACTTCTGAGATCATGAATCGCCAACCTGCCCATTCTGCCAAGGACCTGTGCCTCGGCGAACTGAAGTCTGCCGAACAAAGAAGGCAACTCGCGAGGTGCGACGTGCCCTCTGGTGATAATCTCCTCAATGGCAGCGGCGATGGCCTGCGACCTCGATGGTTTGTTGCACACAGACACGCCCGACATATCTTCCGCCGACGTGTCTATGACAACTCCCAAAGTTTCCGAGCGCGTCGAAAAAGGCTTATCCTTATCATCAGCAATCCTAAACCCCAAAAGGCGCATCACTGAAGTAAAGGCTGCAGCCGTGCTGTTGCCAAGGAGGCTCGGCGTCACTACTGGATAGTCATCATAATAAAGCGCCGTCAAGATCTCCATCTCAAGCATAATCCTTCTCAGCAGAGCCGAAACTCTGTTGAAGTGAAGAACAGATCCACAGGCTCCGAAAGGAAGAGTGTTGCATATGTAGCCGGACGGCTCGGTCTGTGAAGGATGTCGAATGGTCACAATCGCCTTACTTTGTTCCTCCGGTGCGAGCGGAAGTTGTTTGTAAGCAGATTTAAGATCAAACGTTGTAGTGACAGGCCTGATCTTCTCCTTGTCGGTCCAATGGTCATGCAGCTTGCCTTTCAAGGTTTCGCCCGAGCTCAGATGCAAAGTGACATCGCCCCTAGCAGAGGCAGCCTGCATTATCTTGGTGCAAATCCAGACCACCTCGTCCAGAGCCCTAAGGGGAATCTTCTCATGGCAGCCAAAAGTAGCATTGAGTCCCGACTCGCTAAGATCATCGATCGGCCTCCACTTGTTTTGCCATACAGCGAACCTTCGGCACGGCATCCACTGGCCTTCAAAGCGCTCCTGGAGCTCAGAGAATGACAAAGGACCCTCGAGCCACCCTTTTCCTCCAGAAACACCGGTTTCGCCCAGCGTGATTTCGGCCAACTCCGCATCGTACTCCTGAGCCGGCTGCTCCCTCACCCGTGCCCAAAGCTGATGCTTCAAAACTTCGGCAGCGTCCCAAAATTGCTCCTCCGAAGATAAGGCAGGCTTGTGGTCTGGCTCAAAAACACCCGTAGGATCAGGAACTCCTGACAACTTGAACCCTGCACATAGGTCGCGATGCAGGTGCTTGTCGGGCCAGTCAAGAGATTTTGCAATCTTGTCAAGAAGAAGCAGCTTCTTTCCTTGAAGAACCTTGCGTACCGAGGGATGAAGGGAGGCCTGGAGAGCGGCTTCATCTGAGCGAAGGTCCTTCGCCCACTGGTTCCACTTTTGCAGCAGGAGCAACCTGTTTCGCATGATGCATAAGGGACCTTTCGTCAATGTGTCAAAAAGCACACGAACAAGCTTATCCGGAAGAGCTCTGGCGGCATCAAACGGATGCTGAAGTGCGACAGCCTGATACACAAATTGCACCGGCTCGCGATACACACCGAACACATACTCAGTATGGCGAGGCTTCTGCAAAGAGATGTTGGTCGCTTGCTGCGCGGATTCCTCAGTCGCCCCCCCTTCGGAAGCGGAAGAGCGCAGGAGGCGGGCGTGTTTGGGCACGCCGTTCCACGAATGTGTCAGCTGGTTCTTGGCATCCAAAGGTGGATGGCCCGCACACCGTAAGCGCTGCGTGTATGCAAACTCTGGCACAAGCGGTGGCAGCTTGGACGCCTTCGGCTGGTTTTGCGCCGCAGCGCGCACCTCGGGGAGACTAAGAGGGGAGGGGCCTAAACCCAAGGCAGCAACCTGAGTGGACAAGGCAGCAGCAAAACGATCGCAAAAGAGTTTGGCTGGCACGGCATCGGCTCTGTCAGCCGCGGAAAGCGGGGACAGGTCACACAGGGTGTACACCAAACGAAGATGCTGGATCCTGTGTAGGTCAGACACCAGATACACCGGCGCCTCCGAAGTGACCTTGAGCAGGTCGGCGAAGGGAGGCAGCTCCCAAAGCCAGGAAGACATGGGATGCATAAGCGAGAACGGTACCTCAAGTTCACGAGCCCGAAGCAAAAAGGCCCCCAGCTGAATGAAAATGCGGTTGGCAGACTGTAGACGGGCCAGAGCTGAGGAGTCCTGACCTGGCACACCCCACGGGTGGGAAGCACTTCGAAGCGACGATTTTGCACGTGATCGTCGCGTCGTCCCAGAAGGGGGAGTTACATGCACATGAACAACGTGTCTGTTTTCCAGAACGGTCGTCAAGTACTCCCACGAGGCTGGCAGCGTGAGGTCGAGGCCGACAACATGCACATAAGGCTTAGTGCGATTCCCGTGAAAATCAACCGCCAAAGTGTCTATGTTTGCAGCTTTGACGGAGGCTGACAAAAGGCCTGACCCGGCGCAGAGTTGGATCACAAGAGGGGCACCACGGGAGCTCTTTGCCTTCGGAACCAAGGAGCTCGAAGACAGTCCTGAGAAGGTACTATGCGACCCAAGCTGACACAGAGAAGTCGCCGTATCCTGACAAGGTAGATTGAAACCCGCTCGTAGCAGCATCTCTGCAGCCTGGTCTGGAATCTCGGCGGGGGCTTTGACCACAAAACCAATGAGAACGATACGTGGGCCCTGAGTCCAAGGCAACGTAAGGTGCTTCTTATGCGGATCAAAGGCAAGAGTTAAGTCGCTGAAGTCGAGGTGTGAGCCCAGAAGAGAAGGATCGGTGGGGCACACAATGCTTCCGCTTGAATCCTGGACCCACAAACCCCCACCACTAAACCCCGAAATCTTAACCAAGCCGTTCAGATAGCCCAGTGCATTGTTTGCATCCAAATGCAAGGTCGTTCGCACGTTGCGAGTCAATGACAATGTTGTCACGGGAAGCCTCGGGTGGTATTCCTTGAAGACTTTTGCAAGGAATGTAGAAGTCACGGGAAACTGATGCATATGTTGTCGGCATCCGTGCACACCTCCATGCACATACGCACCTGTGCTCCAGCTGAACTCGTCCTCAGAATTGTTCCCTCTTGCCGGAATCTCACTCTCCAGCAAATCGCACAAGGTCACAACATCCCTGAGATCTAAAGGCTTCTTAAGTGATGCGGCAGCAGAAAATTGCTCAGGATCTTTGCAAAACAAAGGCGCTGAAGCGACCTGCTCAGCAGCGAAAATCGAAGATTCAGAATCCGACCCCTCGGCCGAATCAGCAACTTGTGCAATAGCACGGTCCCTTGACCGCGCTCGCTTGGACAAGCCCACTCCGAGCTGCCCACTACTCATTGCCGATGGCATCTCCGCCACCTCGTCTCGACCCACCTGGAGTCAAGACCCGGCCTTCTTCAGGGCCGCATACTGTGGGCAATCAAGTGCTGGATGCGCGCCCCCGCACTTCGGGACGGCGCATACGTGCAACCCCTTTGGGCAGCGACCTCCCTTCACTTGCTCAGAGCAAGTTTTCAAGCCGTAGCCAAAACATATTGGGTCGCCCCGATTGGTGCACGCCTTGCAGCCAACAAGCTCCTTGGGCATCCTCGGTGTGCTCTTGCCTGTGCCTGGGCTCTTGCCTTTCCGACCACCCTTTGAGGGGCGATCGTACGGGCTCCAGCGTGGCTTCGGAGGCGGCTCCACACGACCGCTAGGCTTAGGCAACGGCTGCATCACATGTGTGACCTCTGGCAAGTTGAAGACTTCTTCAAAGCAGTCGTCCAACGGGCGACCGACAGCGGTGGCCTGGACTCCATCGCGAGTCCTGTCCGCTAATTCCTGGAAGAATTTCTGGTCCGCCGCCTCCAATTGGGCAAACGACACTTGCGAATGCGTGTCGAGTTGGGCCGCCATCCTCGTCTCTATCAATTTTTCGGCCCACCTGCGATGCAAACGAAAGTCAAGCAAGTTCGACATTTCAAATGCAAGACCTCTTCGCAAGAGTGCGAACTGCAGCAAAATCTCCGAACTCGTGTCAGCTTTAATGTGATCGCCCTTAGCCTCAGCTTTCAAGCGCCCCTGGGAATCCACAGTGAGCATGTTGTCACGCTTCACCTCACTCGAGAGCTCCTGGGACTTGGAGGTGCACCGATCCCAAGACACATAGCGAAGGCGATTCCCTTCGTAGATGCCCACACACAAGTCCAGCAAAGCGTCGCTCGGCTCGTTCCGATCCTTGATATCGATCCCAGAAACAGATGCCTTGATTTTTCGGTACCTCTCTGCTCTCTCCGGCTGTGACAGACGTCTTGGCCCTGCCTCATCTGGCCTCTCGGCCATCGTCTTAAGCTCCTGAGTAGCCACGGCATAAGCTTCATGGAATAGCCTGCGCCAGGATGCTTTCTGGCCTGCGTCACTCTCCTTCCCGAGTGCTTCGTTGAGGACTTTAATGAGCTCGGCATCAGAAGCAGCACCGGGCGCGTAAGACGAAACGAATGCCACCTTAGCAAGTGTATTGATTCCGGCAGCCTTCAATTTGGTCACGGCCTCACTGCCTAGACCAACGGTCTCACATCGGTTGGTGAACACCGGCTCTGACTCCGTGTATGAAGCCATGGCTCACACAGTCCCTAGCTCTTGCACAGCTGTTGCCCAACCGGCTCACATGCACTGCCACTCCGGCCAGACCGCCCCATGGGCGCACGTTCAAAGACATCATTAAAGTGCCAAATTCAGCCTGCCAAGTGACTGCAACTTCCACAAGACAACTGGCTCCAGACGCACGCGCAGAACTGGTGGTGCTAGACGCAATACACACTTGAACTTGCAGGGCACTGCCACAGCATGACAGCATGGACTTGCAAGGCACATGCGCACGGAACTTTGGATCGTCCACGCCCTCTGCCCGCAGCACCTCACGCATTGACTGATTCCAGAAAGCTTCTGAAGCACTGCTTGCACCTTGGATACAAAACGGGTGGGTGTGCATCGCACACCTCATAGGCAGCCGTAATCTTTCTGCCACAAATGAAAGCGGTGGCCTGCTCCTCACGTGAAATGTGCAAAACTCGCGAGGTTTCGTTCCTAGCCATGACCGCCTCATCAGGAATTTTAGATTTATCTACACGACCGGCCCACGGGCCCAAAACACGTCCCTCAGCACCCTCATCATGGCGCGGGCACTCCTCATCCTCAGAAGAGGACGACGAGCAATCTGCGCCTGCATCGTCGCGAACTCCCGCAGCCTCCCTCTCCGCGGCCGTCATAAGGCCTCTGGTCTCATCAGGCCTGAAAGTACGATCACGGACCTCATCGACGAGCTCCTGCAAGACTCTTAAGGGATATGCCATGGCATCCCTGGCGTAGATGATCTCCGTACCTATGCCAGCATCTTTTGTTGCGTGATAACCCAACAATGCAGTGACATCTCGAGCCACACCCTTCTTGTTTAGCCACGACAAGAGTGTGGCTTTGGCTGAGTGCGTCCCCAGCCCAAGCAAGTAGGGATCATCAGTGCCATCACTGAGCAGAGCACGCATCCACTGCCCAGAAGCCTGAGCAGTTTGCGGGATCACATTCCATCCTCCCCCACTCTTGGGTGACGGCATGAGAGGTTTCCCTTCCCCTGCAGTGATGTTCTCCTTCTCGAGCGCCGCCTTCCACCCTGATGCCCAACACTTGCCGCTGAGACCCCGCGCCGGCGCCAGCATAGGCAAAAATTTTGTTTTCCGCTCCACAGTGAAGCTTGTTTTCGTTTTCTTTACCTCCGCGTTGATAAAGCCAGCAGGCAAATCACCCCGGAAGTCAAGCTCGAAAAACAACAAGGAAACATGTTGGGCATCAGAATGACGTGCTCTAGCGAACACCATAAAGAGGACGAAGCCTGCCATTACCACATCGAGGGCTGAGCGAGGTATATCGCCCGTGCAAATCAGCTCCAGCCTGATTACGTCCTTGACTCGAAGTGGCGGTCTCTGCTGCAATCGCCTGATGCCCAGGTACAGCTTTCTGGCGAGCCCTTTCACCCTCAGAGAATCAAGCGCCAGCACTGCACTGTCGAGTCCCAACACGAAGCGGCCGAAAGCCAGCGAGGAAAGCACAGACTTGAAGAATGTTGCTGCTACCTGTGTCTGCATGTCGTAGAAGAACTTATACATGACCTCCTCTCTGATTGGGAAGGGCTCAATACCTTCCAGGTCACAGAAAGCCAGATATCTGATCATCGGACCTGCTCTCGTATGCAGAGTCGCAGTGCTCTTTGCAGACAGAGCATTCGAAATACTCTCAAGAAGATCACCAGCACCGAGCCCCAACAAGCGGGCCCTCAAGAAATCACGAGACACAGCAAAGTCCCACGGCCCTCGCTCAATGATCTTAAGCCACTTAAATAAAGCAAAATTCTTCTCCTCAGTCTCCTTCGCGTCCCAAGAAACATGTTTTGTCCTTCTAGCAAACTTGGCACCCGCGGCATCGAGCCTGCTCTGCATCCTCGCCGCCTCAGGATGAGATGCTTCTCTCTCGGGAACTGCAGGCGGGAGCAATCTCTGCGGAGCCGGAAGCCCCGGCATGAACCTCTTCCTGGCGGACGCATCAGAGCAAATGCTGGCATCCCACGGCTGCCTGACTGAGAAGTGAGTAGCTGGGGTATCTCTGAGGGCACTCAAGAGGTGAAGATCAAAGGCGGATGAGTGATCCGGGGCACCCTGGGCACCCCTTTTAGCACTACGGCGCCCCGACATCACGTAGGCCCCGAGCACACCCGAAGCTCAAGAAAACTCAAATGAAGCGGCGAAAGAGTTGCCGCAAGTGTGCAATGAACTGCTCAAGCCAAGAGATGCGAGCAGCAGAATGAGTATGCTGCTCCTCCAGCCAAGCAAGGCGATCCTCGGCCACACGGACGCGTGAATGAAGCAGATCGTGGGCCACCTGCAAAGTATGAAGGTGGCTGGATACAGCCTCGAGAGTGTCGAGGCTACTAGGATGCTCTGACTCAGCGGGAGAAACAGAGCGGCCCGAGGCCATCCGGCAGCCCCACGCGGGCAGCACTGCACAGAGGGCTAGGCCCAACCTCGTCTTAGCACCTCGGGCCTGCTAGGAAGCAATACAGGCCCCTAGAGAGCCGAAAAGAAATTTCGCAGTCTTGAGCTCTAACTCCGAGCCAAGACTTTGCAGCATAACCTTGTTCAAATCTCGTGCGGCATGTGAAACGTGAAACATATTTCAAGTAGTTGAAAATCCAAAATCAGCAGTTTTTCTGTACTTCCAGAAAAACCAAAAGCGCCTACAAATCGTAAAGCGAAATCATGCAAGCATGAGTTGAAGCGTAGGCAGGGGAAGGCCGGTGCGGTGACGAGCCTGATCAAGCAAAGTGTTTGCAAGCTTCCGCACTGAGTCAATGGCCTTCTCACAAAAGCCTAGGGAACCTTTGGCACCTATGGCAGGATTCTGAACAAGCGTCTGCAACCCGAGCCGTTGCCGAGCCGTGACGATAGCTCGCTGCAGAGTAAGAGTGGAGGGCTCGTTGTCGCACTTCAGGGTCACGGTGGTGTGACCGAGGCTTTGGATGAACCTCATAAGCTCGATGCCTAGGTACCTTGTGTCGCCTTTGGACTCACATGGAATCGCTGCGATCATGCCAGTAGCGCTGTCATGTGCCACAAGGCACTTAAGTGCACGCTGGGAGTCCTCAGGAGCTGCATCGAGGTTGCAAATGCCGTCTGGCACACTGTACCCTGAAAATGAAAAATCAAATTGAATAATTGGGTTGTCGCGGGGGCCCTCCTTCAAGTACTCACTCCGATCGGGCATTGCTCGCATGCTGATGCAGTGTGGGCACCATGGCTTGAAAGGCACGTGGGTGCACTCATGAAGGAATCGTTCTGCCTCAGTGGGAGCAGCCGCTACAGGCTGAACCCTTGGTTGCCTTTCACCTGAAGACTGAGCATCGGCAGCAAGCTCCAGCTCCAAGGCCAAACGCTGCTTCTCAAGATATCCCTTGACACGGCTGAAGAGGCGGGACTTGGAACCAGCCGTACTAAGGTTCAGCTTGGCTGCTGCAGTTTTCAGAACAGCTAGGCTGGAGTCATGCGCAATGAGCACACCATCAAGACTCAGCGGCTCAACATTGTCGGTTGGCACTCCAGCTTCCAACTGGTCGGGCAGTGGCATTGGCGCTGGGCTCGGTTGTCCAGCTGCATCCTCTAGGCCTTGCATAGCCTCATCATCGGGCACCACACGATCATGCTCAACTGTCCCGATAGGTGCTTGCTCAGTCTCTGCTCGAAAATGATAAAAATCTGGCTCTGGCAGACCTTGCGGTTCGGTCATGCCTGCAGGGAGCTGCACACCTATCTCTGACACGGGCTCAACCTGCACGTGCAAAAATGAAATTACCTCAGCAACCTGACCTCCGGGCAAAACGGCTTCAACCTCTTTCAAGTCAGCCCACGGCACGCAGTGCTCAAGCAGAAACCAAGTCCCACTGCGGCAAATGAGGGTGCTCCTGAGAGGCCAGCCGATCGGCGCCATGAAACTCGGATCGACAAACCTACTTGTGCGACCTCTCCACACCAGGTGACCAGACGAACTGACTTGCCATCCGAAATCGAGAGACTCAAGCGTCTTAGCCTCAAAACGCACCTGGATGGACGCAACTTGCACCTGGCTTGGGCACACCTCTTGGACCTCACCTGTGACCTGAAACTGGGAATGACTGCATGCGGCATCACAGACCTGTTGGCTGTCGGCATCACGAACCTGTTGGCTGTTGGCATCACGGACCTGTTGGCTGTCGGCATCACGAACCTGTTGGCTGTTGGCATCACGGACCTGTTGGCTGTTGGCATCACGGACCTGTTGGCTGTTGGCATCACGGACCTGGCTGTTGGCATCACGGACCTGGCTATCGCTCACTTCGTCCTCAGAGTGGTTGTTGACCTCACCTGCACCTGGATTGTAGTACATCAAGTCTTGGCCCTCATGCTCCACACGACGGATCTGAGCATTCACGGCCAATGAGTAGCCTTTGAACAGCAGGGGCACCTCGGCACCACTCCGTGGGTGGCGCAAGCACATAGGACCTGCGCCTGCATTGTCACCTTGACCTTGGCGAATAGGCCACCATCCCTTACGCATGAGTCGTCCAAGGCTTAACAGTGGTTGGGTGACCTTTGCCACAATGCAGCGTTCACGAATGACCACGGGCCGGGGCCCACCAAACAGCACAAACTCTATCAACCGTTCGGCCTGAATCTTCATCGCGCCCCCTTGGGCATCTTGAACCTGCAGCGGTCGTGCACGAGCGGCACGGCCACAAGACTGAAAAGTCTCAGGGATGCAAGAGATGTCGGCACCCGAGTCGATGATCACGCATTGGCCTGCTCTGGTCACTGCTCGAACACACGCAGTAGCAGGACTCGGCACCAAGTCAAGCACAGCATAGTCATCAGGAGGCAGAGTCCACTGATCGTCATCATCCTGGGCATCCATTGCAAAGCTCTGTGGCGCAGTCACAGTAATCATACAGACATTGGGCTCATAAGGGAACGGATCCTCCAGGTCAGACATATCGAAAAGAAGTGGCTCAGCCGCAACACGGCGAACGGTTGACTGTCCTGCCTTGCCTTGCTGGGCTTGAAGGGCACTCGCAGAAGATGGGGCAGTCGTGCTAGTGCCGGCATCGGACGCTGCAGAAGAGTTGGCCTGAACCTGCCGGGCACCTTTCTGATGGCCTTGCATGTAGGCCTTGAACTGAAAGCAGTCACGCTTGTAGTGCCCCGGCTTCTGGCACCAACTGCACACGGAGGGCCAATTGCCCTTTGCATTGCCACCTTTGTCCTTACCTCCCTTGCTCTTGCCCTTGTCGCCTTTGCCTGCATCGCCTTTGCTGCCTTTGTTGTACTTGCCCTTGCCGTCTTTGCCTTTGTCGCCTTTGCCGCCTTTGGGCCTGCCCTTGCGGTCTTTGCCTTTATCACCTTTTGCATGCACACGGTCTATATCCATCGGCGCAACATCGCCGGTATCATGCAAGCCTTTCTTTCCATCACTCAGGCCGTAACTCGAAGCAACACTGGTTTGCCACTTCGTGTTAGCTCCATCCCAACGCAGCACAAGCTCACGCAAATCACTGTACGTGCTGTCGTCAGATATGACTACATTGGCATGCTGACGGAGCTGGCCTGTCAAGCAACTGAGGAGAGTGGCCATCTTGTTGTTCTCCGGGAGACCGCCTGGCTCGAGGCGCTCATACTCCTCAAAGGCGCTTTCAAGTCGCAGCAGTTGCTGGGCAAGTCCTTGTTGGGCCGCAAAAGACGGCCAGCTGTTGATCGTACGCAGCAAAGCTAAAACTCGATTGCGGGTCTTTGGCATAAGATCTTTGCTGAGCAGTCTCCATGCCTCAAACCCGTTCTGATCCTGAACAGATCGCAACAGTCGCCTGCCGCGTTCATACAGTAGGCCATTCAACATGCCGTACAGCAGCCGAGACCGCCGCTTGGCACCATCATCAAGAGAACTCAAGATCACCGCTGTCTGCTGCCGGCCATACTCACGAAGCTCGCTGCTGAACTCTGGTTCCAAGCACGATAAATACTGTTCAAACGTCCAGCTCCACTGAGGCCATTGCGCAAACTCCTCATCTCTCGTAGTGGGCCGGAACGGATCCGGCTTCGGTAGCACCTTGGTCAGATCTCCAACACCCATAGGTCGAGCACCTTGGGCCGTGCTTGCAAAAGCGGCGGCTTGAGCAGCCGCACTGGCAGCTTGCGTAGCCTCTGACATGCGTTGCATAAGAACTCTCAAGTCGGCAGCTGTCATAGCAATCTCAGTTCCAGCATTGGTGGGGCTCGTCGGCTGAAAAGGGTTTGTAGGCGTTGGCTGTGCAAAGGGCGCAGGACCAAATGCTTGCGCTGAGGCGGTGGCTCCAGGGGGGCCTGTAAGCTCCTCATCCGTCTCATCTCCAATATTCGCCATTGCTCTGTAAAGCAGGGCAATCAATCAATATCAATCACCTCCTTGCAACTGCTCAAACACAGATTGGCACCAAATGTGCGTCGGGGCTCGGGCCCTTGCAACTCGATCGGCTGATCCGGAGGGGCCTGCAGTTCGGAGAACGCGGCCTCACTCGAAGCAGCACCTGTTGAAAAACCGAAAGCTTCCAAATCTCGCTCAAACAACTCGCGCTCCTCTGTCGCAAAAACTGTGTCGTGTATCAAGGCTTCAGGGATTGCTTCGTCACACACGTCGTCAACTGCAAAGAACCGGAAAACTTCTTTAAGGTGGCTGTCCTTCAAACACCGGTGGGCAAAGTCCCACACTTGCTGAGTAGTCTCCAGAGAAGCCAAGTTCGCCTCCAGCGAACGTTGGGCGGTACTCAAGATATTCTGCCACCCTTCAGCAGATCTGCCAGCGGGGCGTTCACGCTGTAGCAGCTGCTCAAGATGCAGTTCAGTAACTCTGGCCTTGATAGCCTCCAGAGAGGCCAAAGAGGCAGCCGTGCTGCCGGAAAGAGGCGCGAGCGAATCGGGGCTGAAGGTGACTACACACCTAGGCCCTTAACACCAAAAGTCAAAAGCGAAAAGTTCAAGCCCGATGGCCCCTGAACAGGACCCAAAGAAAGTTCACGTGTCTCGAAGCTGGGTCGGCCCAGCTCCGCTACCATGAAAACGTAATCGGACTTTTCCACAACTCAGAGCCTGGTACGTAGCGGAGTTCTGCAATTCACAATGTGCTCCATGAAATT